TTGAAATGCTCCCAATTTATATTTAATGAATTTTATTTATATTTTCTTAAATTGTAACTTGTTGAAAAATAGATTCAGGGTAAGCTTCTACTGGATCAACGGGTAATTTAAATCCAACAAGAAAATATGAAAAACCATATCCTACAAATAAGAACAATTTTGCATGTGAATTTTGATGAAACAACATTTAGTTGGAAGATTAAAAAATGTAACTGAATACATTAAATGTCTTGAACATTTGAGGGAAAATGTGAAGGATTTTATGACGAAGAAGGTTGAGGCAAAGGCCTAAAATTTAATTATATATCTCAAGAATCTTTACATGATATAGATGATTATGATAAAAAGGAAGAACAATTTGAGATATTGAACACAAGTGGCGGTAATTCAAGTCAAGAGAGTGAGAGATAATTACCCAAAAAATCCAGGCTTAAGGGTCAAATGGATTTGTTCGTTTCTTCTCCTAGAGCTAATCCAAATAAAGATGGAGGTGTGCATGCACCTTGTGATAAATAAAGAAGGGAGAGAACTTGTGTGTCGATTACTAGATTTTTTATGATGACGAAATTGCATTTAATACCGCAATTAACCTAAGAATATGTGTGCAAGTATTAGACAATATAGTCTCATATTGAAACCACCAATTATACACGAGCTTAGAGTTTCTCTCTTTAAGAAAGAAGTGGACGACACCCAAAAGATTATTGAAGATCACAAAATATAATGGGCACTAAAAGGGTTTTCAATTTATCATATGAATGGTGTGATTCGGTGGCCCAAAAGGATATTGTGAACTTCCTTGTCAACTCTCCAAAGAGGATGATGTTCATTAAATCTATGGATATTTCAGAGATTTTTAAGGATGTCAACATGTTGTTTAAAGTTCTTAATGACATGGTGGAGGAAGTAGACGAGAAAAATGTGATCCAAGTGGTAACAGATAATGCATCTAATTATGTCAAAGCCGATAAGAAATTTGAATTATTTAATTTTTTTTATTTTTTTATTTTAGTCAAATTACTTTATTATTGAAATATTTTGAGTTTAATTGATTGTTTTATTAACTTATAGGAAAATTGTTAATGGCCACAAGACTAAATCTTTATTAGAATCTATGTGCGACATATTGCATCGATCTAATGTTGGAGGATATTGAAACAATTTCAAAGGCGAAGAATGCACTAAAAAAGTGCATGTTCATGAATGAATATTTATAGTCACATTTCTCTTGTGAACATGATGAAAAGGTTCAAAAATCAAAGAAATTTGCATAGGCCAACAGTCACTAGATTTACGACATCTTTCATCACGTTTGATCAATTCCATAAGCAAAGAAATAACTTAAGAAAGATGATTATTTCTCAAGAATGGAGTGAATCTAAGTGACCATAGGAAGAGGGAGTAAAGAAAGGTGACATCCTACATTCTACAAGATACCTTTTGAAGAAATGTACTCTACGCACTCAAGTTGACGGGACATTATCAACTTCACCAACCTTTGCATGTGGCCGACTACTTTTAAACTTAGAGCTCCATTATGATAATATTGAGACTTCATCTTGTGAAGAAGTTATGAAGGATTTATATGATTGAATTACAAGGTTGAATCTGAAGATTGAATTCAAGACAAAATCCTCACAACATTAAAGATATATCAAAACGCTCAGGGCCTTTTTGGCTTACTGATGGTCACTAGGTTAAGGAAGACTAAATTCTCAAATTTTAACTTATAATATTTTATTGTTTTTTAATTAAATATGTTCATATATAGTGTGGACTACCATTTGCTTATTGAAATATATAAAGCTGGTAAACTTCATAAGCACTAGTAGACTTGTATTTTGCATGGATATTTTAGGTATACTTGATTTTGTCATTATTAAAATATATAAAATCAGTTATCTTAACTATTTGGTGCATTATTCTATATTTTTATTTTCTTTGAAATTATTAATTCACAGGTTTATAATATTTTTTTTATAGTGGAGTGGTGGTCTTCATTTGGATCTTCAACTTTTGTTATCGAAGTCCTTAGTCTCACTTGTACAACTACTTGTTGTGAGAGGAATTAAGGTGTTTTCAGCTTGTAAGAAACTATCTTTTTACATATTTTCTTTCATATCATAACTATTTATTAATATTTCACTATTTAATAATTTGTTTAAATTTTTTATTTCTTACATCTTTATAAAAAGAAAATAAACATATTGACACAAGATTGATCAAATGATTTAGTCTTTGTAAAATGATTGTGCATTGAGAAGTTGATATCAAAAGAAAGACACCATTGATCCTATTCTCTAGAGGATTGATAAAAGCAATGAGTGGTTACTTGGCTTAATGGAGAGCAACTCTTCTGATGTTGAAGATGAATTTGTGTTTGATGATAGTGATGGTCTGACATGGGGTCAAGTAGGTAAAGCTGTCAGAGCCCGTGATCCTAACTATTTGACTAGAGCATCAAGGATCAATGACGAAAGGTCTAGACCATCTTCTAGATTTGATAAAGTAAAAGACACAACTACTAGCTATTCTCACAAAGTCTTCATGAATGATGAGGAAGATGAGATAGAAGAGGATATTGGTGAAGATGAAGATTATGGTGGACATGACGGAGATGAAAGTTATGTTGAGTATGATTTAGAGTATTTACTATTAGACTATGAGTGCTTAAGTATTTAATGTTTAAATCTATTGTGTTGTGTGTCACAAACAAAACATTAAGAACTTTAAGTCTTCAAGACTTCAACAATCATGTTGTTTGCCTTTTATTTTTTTCTCTTTTTTTATTTGAACTATCCTTTCATATTAATTTGTGTTGTTAATGCATTGTTTTGAATATTTTAATATTTAAGTGTTCAAAAATATGATTATAATGTTGTTTTGTGTACAAAATATGTTATATAATTGATTTATAGGCTTTTTAGTATAAAAGTGTGCCTCACATATGAAAAGAGAGCGCTTTCTCCCAACGTCCGGCACCTAGGCTCTAGGGACCCTTTGCGCTTCAGTGCGCCCTACGCCTTTTAAAATTGAGACTTCTAAATTTTTCAAATTATTTTATGTTACAAAATTTTTTACCTACTCTCGATTGTTATTTGAACTTAAAAGTTTGAATTTTTTTATATAACAAAAAGGGTGAGAAGTATATGTTGGTAAAATCAATTTCAAACATGAAAAAAGAGAGCTTAAATATTTTCTAAATATTTCTCTTTTACATAAAATGTTATATTAGAAGGGGAGTTTTGTCAAAATCCTTTTCAAATGTTTATTATATAAAAAGGGAGATTATTGAACATTTTTTGATATAAAAAATTAAGGGAAACTTTTTTTGGACTTGGTTGAAATTATTCAAGGTTTTCAAAATCCATAAAATTTGAATTTGAACACAAAATTGTTTTCTAGTAGTACCGATACTAAATGATGTTCTCCAATTTGTTCAAATTCCAATAAGAAAAATTGGTACCGATACTCTAGGAGTATCGATATTCTAGGAGTAACGATACTACTTTAAATAGTAGTATTGATACCATGAAACCCTAGTATCGATACTAGTCAAGCTCATTGGTCGATAACGACTAGTTTATTTAAATATTACAAAGGAAGTACATATACTCTCTTAGCCTGAGTATCGATACTCCCTGTTCTTGGCTATTTTGTTTTGTAGAAAATTAATCTTCAACTCATAGAAATGACTACAAACTAATTCTAACATATAGAAACAAGTTAAGGACACTTGAAGAAGGTTACAACACCTATCCAAAGAATCTAGATCAAGGGAAAAACTCTTTCACTCTTTATTCTTTTTTTCTCATGTACATAGTATTTTTGTGAGTTTAATTTTGTAAACACCTTGTAAGATTTTCTTCTTTACTTATTTATCATTTTTGTGAAAAAGAAGTGATTGTAGTTTAGCCTTTGAAAAACTAGAGAAATTATAAAGGTTACTCTTTATCCTAAAAAAGAAAGAACAAATTTGCGAACTTGTTAAAAATCCTTATTGTTGAGGTAAGATAGTGGATGTAGACTTTATTGAGGAAGCTGAATCACTATAAATCTTTATGCCTTATTGTATATCTATTTTCTTCATTTCCAAAATTTTTCGAGAGATCTATTCACCCCTCTTAACTTATTTTGATTAATTTGTAGAATCTAAAAATTTTCAACATTTTCTCGCTTGAAGGGTGCCAGAAAATCATTGAACTTTTATAAGGATGAATATTTTTTAATTAATTAAATTTTAATTTGAAAGTTTAATTAAATTTTAAAAAATAAAAATTTATTTTTTATTTTGAAGGTTCATCAGATATTCACAAGTTTTAATATTTTATAATTTATATAATAAATTGATTCCTTGCGAATTAAACAATATTTATCAATTAGATAATATTTTTAGAGTGTAATAGAAAATTAATTTTTTAAAATGTTTAAAAATATTTTGAGTTGGTTTGTTTAAAAGGATTGATGTAAAAAATAATTTTAAGTAGATATTATTTTTAAAAATATAAAAATTAGTGATACAAATAAAGATGAATAAGTAATTTTGATTAAAATACTTAAAAAATTAAAACCTAAAACTTTCAACTTTTCAAAAACATTTCTTAAACCAAATAAAAAAGTACTTTTGATTTAAAATACTTCTAATCTAAAAGTACTTTAAAAGCCAAAAGTACTTTTGATCCTTAAAACACTTTTGAACATTATTTTTATTTCTAAATATAATATTACCATGATTTAAAAATTTACGATCTAATAAATTTCTCACATCTCAACTGGGTTACTATTTAAAAATTTTGTAATTAAGAATATTTGAATTAAATTATTAATTAAAATTATAAATTTATTTATTCATAAATTTTTAAATAAAACTTTTATTAAAAAAATATTTCAACTTATTTGATGATCTCCTACAATATTTCAACTTATTTAATACTCTCCTACTTGGACAAGGAAATTAGGGTGAACTTGTTATAAAAGTTCTCTGATCTGTTCAAATTCCAAATTAAATTATTACCTGCTGTAGAACAATAAACTTCGAAACTTTCAAAGGGTCAAAAACAGTACTTTGTAGGCTAGTTTTGGTCGGTTCTTCTGGACGTTTCAGAACTCAGAGCAAGCTAACACCAATACTCCGGCACAGTCGAATCCAGGTTTCACTTCTTCTGTCTTTGGGGCTTCAAGCTATTAATAAGGAAACGGGAAGATATAGGAAGAAGGGTCATGGGAGATATTTTCATATGGCTTACGTCTTTTTTCATTCTCATTGCGCTTATTGCTCTCATTGTTTTTCAGGTCAATTCCCTCATAAACCCTAGAATCTATGCTTGGAATTTTGCTTATATTTCTTACTTTTTTTGTTTGAACTACATGTTTCTTTTGCTATTAACTTGCTGGGTATTGATTAGTTAGTTGGCTCTTCTATTTAGCTGCAGGAAAACCACTATGAATGCTAAAAATCGTGTCTTTGTGTAGTATTGTTGGGGTGAATTCATCTGGGTTTATTGAATTGGGGCTTTGATTTGGATTTTAAAGCCTTGACAATGTTAAGCTAATTAGTGATGCTATTATTCATCTGAAGATTGTTCTGGTTATGTACTTAAAACGGTAAAGGGATTTAACAGCTTCAAAATTTTTCTGCAGCTCATGTGCTTGGCTGATTTAGAGTTCGATTACATCAATCCTTATGACTCTTCATCACGGATCAATAAAGTTGTCTTGCCAGAATTTATCATCCAAGGGCTTCTGTGCGTATTCTATCTATTAACGGGGCATTGGGTCATGTCGCTCTTGTGTGCTCCATATTTATACTACAATGTGAGACTGTAAGTTTTTCTCTCATCTTCTTATTCTACCATTTATTGTTAATGTAGTCTGTTTCTAGGAAAAGGTCAAATGATAGTTTTCCTGGTTTTGATTCACTGTTTAATTTCAAATTCCTTCCCCACAGTTACTTTATATATTCAGCTTGCATTGCAACCCTATGTCTTGTCAGGTTAAGCCCATCTGGTTGACTGGTCTATTTAATTCCTTGATCTTGTTTGACAACGTGAATTATGAGTTGTGGAATTTTTGTTCTTAACTTGTAACTTCTAACTCGTGCAAAGAGATGCATCAAGGAAAGATTTGTGTTATATGTCTACACTTTCCAGTATTGTGAACGTCCTTGTGGTGAATATGAGTATTGATTGTTTGCTCCATTAGCCTTTCAGCCTCTCGTAGGTTAAAGACCCATGCTATCAGGCACTAACTGTAAAGAAAAGTGTGATTCATCTGCTGAGGGTAACATGTATGGTGCTGCGGGCAATGTTCCATTGATCGAAGTAAACAATAGAATGTTTTAGTGATCTTCTTTGAAGATTGATTGGCAGACATACTAACGACTTTCACTTTAATTTGGTAACAAATAAATTCATTGGTCCCAAAAAGTATTAGCATCCCTTGTGCCAAGTTTGTTGGATTCGAGAATTTACATTATGATAAAAAAAAATTTCTTTTTCCTACCTATCGAAGATTGCATGCATGCCAGAATCTTGGTCTCTCATGTAATTGTAGTTATTTGTATGTTTTAAATTAAGTTTTGTTTATAATATCAATCGTGGCTGCGAGCATCTGAAAATTACTCTGCTGGGAAATGAAAAGCAGTGTATTGCAATTATGTTATATATCTGTCAAGTGCTTTTGAAATTGTATATGCTCTCTTGTTATCAGTTACACGGAGAGAAAGCACCTAGCAGATGTTACGGAGATATTTAACATGCTTCCCTGGGAGAAGAAGCAGCGCCTTTTTAAGCTTGGCTACGTTATCGTTCTCCTCTTTTTCTCCATGTTCTGGTAATTTGTTGTTTTCTTAAACACTGTGTTCTGCCTCTAGACATGTTACTTTTACTCTCTGAGCTGCTAACATGGGAACTTTTATATGTATTTGATAGGATGATCTGGTCAACATTAGATGATATGGAAGATTAATCGGAGACGGCAGCTTTCTTAACTCAAACTGCTGCTGTGCATTGGACATTGGCATTATTTAACTTGCGTCTGTTGTAAACTGATATAGGCATATAGCATAAATTCAAGGTGTAAATTTAGTCATCTGATATTTGTTTTGCTCAAACAAGCAGCTTTTTCAGTTTTTAATTTAACAAGCTTGCATTTCTTCTATTGAAATTAGTTTGTTATTTCCTTGCCAAGAATTGAGTATCCTCTTGACATCCATCCCTGCAATTTTTGTTTCTGATTTTCAATTGTGCTGAATTTTGCAAAAGAAAAGACAATTAAATATTTCTGCCAATTTAGTCATAATTTTAAAAAGTAACAAATTTAGCCATTAGCCTTTACAAAATGTGTAAATTTTGTATTGAATTTTTAGAATAACGACCAAATTGGAATAATGCTTAAACAATAAGGAATAAAATTACCAGTATGTTAATTAAAATCAGGGTAAACTATGTATTTAGTCACACAACTATTCATATGGGCCCATTTTGGTCACTCTACTAGTTTTCTCAAAATCATACCTAAACTTATGTTTTAATTCCGTTTGGCCTTAAAAAAGACACAACTATTGATGTATTTTTTGGCGATGATGGTTGTCGCAACCGTCTTTCGGGTGGGCTCGGAATTTGGCTTCAACTTGAATAAAATGTTAGAGCCACCACCGATCATTTTTTTATGAAAAATTGGTTGATCGGACACCATCTTACCTGATATGTATTTTACCAGAAATGTGTCAGATTTGGGAGTCGGTTACAGTCAAGGAATGATTAGCATCCTTGAACTGCTCTTTCGGTACCATTTAATTTTTCGGTTGCCTTAATTGCGAAAATTAAAATTTAAATACTCGATTCAAATCACTTACCTTTGATTAGTAAAAATTGTCCCTAAAAAAGAAAGTCAAAAATGTTAGATTAAAAAATATAAATAAATAAAATTAAATAAATTAAGAGAGAGAAAAAGGTAAAAAATGTTAAAGAGAAAAATAAAATAAAATAAGATGAAGGAAATAAAACCATAAAAAATATAGAAAAAATAAAAAATAAAATGTATAAATGTATAAAATAAAAAAAAAAAAAAAAAATTAAGAAAAAAAAAGAAAATGTTATTTTTCAAAAAAAAAGAAATAAAAAAATAAAAAAAATGTTAAACGTTACAAAATAAAATCAGGAAAATAAATAAGACTTAAGGGATCAAATTGGGACAAATTGAAATTTATGGACTGAATTAATACTAAAAATGGGTTGTAAGAGAAAAAAATAAAATATAGGGGACTGGATTGCAAAATATAAGAAATGTAAATAGGGATTAAATTGAATAAATTAAAAATTAAAAGACAAAATTGCAACATGTGACCAAAAGGAATTACACTTCAAAATATGAGGGACTATGGAATAACTCCCTGTTAAATTGAGTTGCGAATGACTCCTCCGCCGCAAAGTTGAGTCAGTCTTGAAATGATATCCTTATTCATGAAATTGAAACCGTAGTTCGGAATTTGAATCGGGGGTGGCTTCTTGTTACCAAAATGTAGTCAACCTTTGTCTCTTCCTCGATTTAAATACCTTCGTTTGAAAATTCGACTGGAAAGTAGTTCCTCGATACTACCATGTGGTTGATATGCTCTCGAGATAATTGGAATCGAACTTGAAAGTTTTTGTTGACAGATAGCTTTTCTCGACTTAAGCTATGTTGTTGGAAGATAGTTTATTGTCACTAAAACACAGCTAACCCAGATCTCCTTATTGACTTAAAGACCTCGATTTAAGCTTCGACCGAAAAATAGTTCTTCGCTGCTACAATGTGGTTGATACACCCTCGAGCTGAATGGAATCGAACTCGAAAGTCTTCATTGACAGATAGTCCTTCTCGCCTTGAGCTATGCTGTAAATTTGTTATGCCCTTGAGCTGAATGAAATCGAACTCAGGTTTTTGTTGACAGATAACCCTCATCGCCTTGAGTTATGATGTACTAGATTGAGAGATTATCCCAGATCTTCTTCTTAACTTAAAGACCTTGGTGTAAACTTCAACTGGAAAGTAGTTCTGCTACCATGCGATTGATACGCCCTCGAGCTGAATGGAATCGAACTCGAAAGTCTTCATTGACATATAGCCCTTCTCGCCTTGGGCTATGCTGTAAATTTGTTATGCCCTTGAGCTGAATGGAATCGAACTCAAAGGTTTTTGTTGACAGATAACCCTTCTCGCCTTAAGTTATGTTGTACTAGATTGAGAGATTACCCTAGATCTTCTTCTTGACTTAAAGACCTTGGTTTAAACTTCAACCAGAAAGTAGTTCCTCGCTGCTACCATGCGGTTGATATGTCATCGAGCTGAATGGAATCAAACTCGATAGTTTTTTGTTGACAGATAGCCCTTCTCACCTTGAGCTATAATGTAAATTTGATACGCCCTTAAACTGAATGTATTCGAACTCGAAGGTTTGTTGACATATAACCCTTATCGCCTTAAGCTATACTTTAAATTTGATATGCTCTTGAGCCGAATGTAATTGAGGTCGAAGGTTTTTATGCTGGTAGATAGCTCTTCTTGCCTTGAGCTATGTTGCGAATAGTTTCTTTAAGTGAAAAATAGCTCCCCTTCACGGGTCTAAGCCGGTCATAATTCTTTAAATGGCTGCCCTTCGCGGGAAAGCCAAGTGATATATTCTGTCAGTCGGATATCATCCTTCGGAGAGTTAAAATATGGCTTGAAAACGTTAACTAGAAACTAGCCACTCGTTGTTGAGTAAGTTGAACTGGATTTATTCTAAATTGGCTCTCGATCCCGTCTGAAGTTGATTCTAAGATCTGACGATCTTTCAATATGTCAAGTTGATTAAGGTGTAGCTCCTCGCCGCTGAGTTAAGCAACCACCGTCAATTTTTTTGAAGGTGTTTTTGAGTCGAATGTCTTTCGTCTTGAAGTTGAAACTTGACTCTAAAGCTGAAAAATCATATATTCGAAAAAAATGATAAATGTGATGCTCTTAAGTATGTCTAAGATGCATGCAACATGAATTAATCCTTGTTTTATCTCTTGGATGGAGTCTCGTTATTTATCTGTCGATCTGGTCCTTGGAATCGATCATGTCCTATTTTCTTCTTGGGTTGCAGCCTTTAACATTTGAGACTGTCCTGTTTGAAAATGTTTTTCTCATTTCTCTTATTTTAGGAAAAAAAGAATATAAGAATTTTGTAAAACATTTCCCCTTAATTCAGGCTCACAATCGAATCAAATCATAAACATGAGTTCATAGAAAATCAAAAAAATCAATAACTCTTTAATGCTTTCGGAGTTATAGCTCTTTGACAAATATCTAAATTGATGAGTTGGCTTCAGGTTGGCCTCTTATTTTCTAAGGTTTCGGCCATCAAAATTTCATTTCTTTCTCGGTCATTTTGAACATTGCAACATGCCATTTTTTCTTGGCTTGGCATTTTAATCGGATGCGGACAAAATGACGCAACTAGTATAATCAATTACTAGACCTTCTATTTAGGTTCTCTAAAATCTTCCATTTGTTCAAGCTTTGTAGGTTCATCTAACAAAGGCTATGCCGAAATATCGATCTAAAAATGAAATTCCTGAGTGCTCGTGTGAAATTGACTACAACAAGTGTTCCTTAACTCCCTTAGTCCATTTTTGTCGAAACTCCTTATTTAGATAAATTTGATTTAATTTGCCATTTTCTGGCTAGTTGAATCTTATCCATAAAGCTGGGGCGTTTAACCAATTGCTCTAAAGGGACAACTCAATAGTATAATCACTTTTATCAGGTTAACTGAAGGGTTCATCTCATCACAAAGTCTTCGACCTGAAAATTGCATTGGAGAAAACACCAAATTGCCAAGTGTTCGAGCAATGTCATGGTTTGAATACAATCTATTCATTAGGCCAGAGCTTTCAAGTTTCCTCTATAACCAATTGCCTTAGTGGAATAGCTTAGCTTTACATATTCAATTTCTTAATATTGTCAAGAAGAACCTGTTATTGTCTAGGTATTCTTGAAAGTAAAAAAAACTCATCTTTAGAATTCAATTTCCAAGCAACTGGCCTAAACTAGATTCACCTACTCGACTATTCTATCTGTAAGGATCATAATCATCATTGAACGTCGTCAACAAAAGTATGGTCTAATAAGTTTTGTAATGTTATATGCAAAAAATACCTCATGTTGTCTACTCCTATACATACCTAAATACCAAGCCTTTTGTTCTTTCCCTTATGAGAGGAGAAGGCTATATTGGTTCTTGCAAGAGAAGGGTATGGTGTTCGAGTGTATCTTCTAGGGTAAGAACAAGGTCTTTGTTTTATCAGTTTTCAATCTTAATACTTTGTCAAAGATTTAAAACTCCAACCATTTGCAGAGTTTTTAATTCAGTTAATATTAAGAGAATTTCAAGTCTACAAATTTGATTTATTACTTGCCATCCTTAAGTAGCATAAACTCATTTAAATATCCTTACAAAAAATAGAGAATAGATGAAAAACAAATTCAAACAAAATGCTATAAATGGAGTAAATCTTCATGATGGAATGATCTTCTTCCTTGTTAGGATGCCCCTGAGTTGTTGAAGTCGATCCAATTTTTGTTACGTGTTTTCTGCACGATTCTCTCGAATGTGAAGCAGTTCTCGATAGTGTGCCCTGGGACACCGCCATACTATTCGCAATGAGCATTCTCATCATACCACCTGGGGTATGGGGGCTTCATGGGTTTCACCGGGTATGGTGACACTACGTGTGTGTCAAAGCGTTGTTGGTAAAGTTATTTGTAGGTCATGGGAATAAGGTCGAAATGTTCCCTTTTCTTCCTAGGTTCTCTTGAATCTTGTCTAGAAGTACCTGATGGTACAGCTGCAGTTGTTTTTGGGTTGGAGATTGTAACACCTTTATTGGTATGGTAGGTGTTGATGTTGTTCATCTTTTCATCCCTCTCTTTCATAGAATATTTCTTATTGGCCTCCCCTTCCTTAATCTTGCTTTGCTTTATGGCCATTTCTACCATCTCACCGGCCATGACTAA